ATGGTTTTATAAGATACAATGAGCCTTCCCATGGGCTCTTCCACAAAGAAAAAATTTGGGTTGGGAACAGGTGGTTGGCAAAACACAAAAGACGCTCTCGACGCGTCCCCAAATGGAAGTGACCTTAGAACAACTCCAGTCGTCTCTCCAGGACGTGTCTTCTGGTGTCTATAATGGAAGGGAGTCCGACTTGTTTCAAGCCATAGAATCTGCGAAACCTCAACTGCTAAACTTGTTGGATTCAGGACCAAAGTCTGCTGCAGAACGTAGCGCCGTAAAAGATGGTACGTAATGAACTTCTTGAGATGATTTTATCATGCTTCTGCGCGTTATTACATGATCTCGTCGTGCTAACCTGAAACCACAGGACCTGGTATAATGCGTGATGGGCGGCTCTACAAACCTAATGCCGCGGCGGCTGAGAGGATCATATTCCTTTCTGATCATCTCAACACGTCGGAGACATACTGTGCGGGTCTCATGGATCGAGTCGTCCTACAACAACCAAATTTAACGCCTGTAACTCATGTGGAAATCGCGACACGAGAGTACTACAGCGTTAGGGACACAATATTGGCCATATGGAAACTCTTAATCAATATATTAGTTGCTGCAAGTCAGCCAGAACAAGAGGTCGAAGTTGCGGCTGGTAGCCTTGGTTGGCACCTCGCTGCAAAGACCAAAGAGTTGATCCAGGAAGGCCACCCCGAAACGCTCTTAAACCGAATACTCTCACAAATTGATGAGGCAGCAAAGCGAGTGGAAGATGTCAGGAAAAAGCTCATCGACGCGACCTCCCAAACCAATACTGGAGTCTCGCTACGACATGAAGTGTTGGAGGGAGAAGTCAGTAAAGTACTCGAACAGCGGAGAGAGCTGGGTGACCTACTGGTTCTGCTATGCAAAACCAAAGAGCTATCAGCGGACGAGATTTTACACCTCATCCAGTGGACCAGCAAGCTCAAACCTTCCGATGACCTCATTATTCATGTCTCTGCCGCTTCTCTCCTCGCTCTCTCCCCCACCATCTCACCCACGAGCACTGCCCTTGACCACTTAGGCGACAAACTCCTCTTAACCGGCCTCCTCGGCAGGTTCGACGCTGCTACTCAATGGGAAGCCAAAGGAATGCGTGCGGCCATCCAACTTGAGTGCGCTCTATTTCTAGTTGCATGCAGGGCTAGGGACCCAACGCTATGTGATGAGGTGAACGCTACAGTCGATGAGGTAGAATACCTCGCTACGCAAGCAATGGAGAGTGATGCCTTCAGATTCTTGAGCCATGTAATTCTATCTGCTCGTGGTAGAGATTTGGCAGTTGGTGACAAGGGGTCGATCGTAGCAGTAGCGGACATACCACAAGCCACAGAGGGCTACGAACTCATCAATTCTGAAGTACGATCGCATGTCTACAGTGTGATCGAATCAACCATCATCAATCTCCTGGCCTCTCTTCCGAACGTTCTCAAAAAGCTCAAACACAAGCAAGAAGATGTGGGTATCGTGGCACGTAAGCCCCCACTGCCGTTCGCTAACACCTTGGGACGAATACCCGAGCCCCCGAGCGTAGCCCCTCCTCCTGCTCAACGGAGTGATATCGCCTCACTCTTCCGATTAGTTGGTGTACTTTACGACGCCTTACCCGCCGAATCTGCACTGAAATTCTGGACGCTCCAACCAAGCAAAACGCGTCAAATCGATTCCGTCAACTCAAGGCTTCCTTCCTTTGTAAGATGGGCAACCGAATCACGAGGGGAGGTCATGGTTCCCGCAGTGTACGATATGCTGGCCGGGTTGGCGAAGGGTACCTCCTGTAGCGAGCATGCCTACAATTATCTCTCAACGGGAGGTGTCTCGGCAGGTACACTAGTGGGTATGCAAGCATCTTTTGGAGGTGGTGCCTTCTCCTGGTCTACCTTGTTTGGTTCTCTGGGCTTCTACTCAGAAAGCCTACCGAACCCTCGATCTATACAGCAATACCGCCAACAAGGTCCACTTCCTGAAATCCGTGTTGAAGAAGCCAATCTCTTGGTATCTTTCCTTAAGTTACTCAAAGTTGTGGCCCTATGGTCGGTCCCCGCTCGCCTTGCGCTCGCCGAGCACGGTCAATATCGTGCGGTTCCTGCCATGTTGCAGCTCGCAACTTGCCGTATACCATTGGAGCTTAAAGGTGCCATCTATGATGCAGTAGCCGCATTTTGCTCTCCTGGTGGAGGTCCCACGGGTAGTGCTATATGTCGGAATACTTGGCTCATGCTAGAGCAGCTTCAAGTCCTCGATACGCAAAGTGTACCGACTGGCGTTGGCTCCTCCCATGGGATCAAATTCGAGCTTCTGGAAGTTGAGATGACGAACAAGGTGTACCCTTGCACTTCCTCCTTCATTCGCCTTATGAACTCCCTTATCCACACCCCAAAAGACTTGTCCCTAAAGCAAACGCTCTTTGGATCCCAAGGGGGGCAAACAGTTCCGGATACCCTAGGAGCTCCTCAGCGAACCCTCCCTCTTATACCCTACATCAGCTTTATCATTGACGATGTTCTGTTTCTCGGCGAAGAGCATTTCAAAACAGAAGCAGAACGATGGAGCCTCAAGGACATGTGTCTACAATTCTTGGAGAAGTCTCTGGCAAGCTACGAACTAGAAGCGCTACCTGCTACATTACAGAACGTCGCAGCTCAAGGGCCACTAATCATCCGACCTTGGCTAGCCCATCCTGGGTTCGAAATTCTGAATCGACTTTTCTCTGAGTCGCGACTACGAGCTTTATTGAACGACTTTATAGCCGATGGTCCTAACAAGCTAGAGAGGAGCGCGATAAAAACAAGATATTTCGAGAGTTGCATGAGAAGAATCATCCGTATAATTCACCGAACCTTAGATATTCAAAGTTACTTCCTCGACATGCTCGTTCCGACAATTCAATCCTTCGATTTTACGTCCATCCTCCCAAATTTTGTCCCCGGTCAATTGATTTCTCTCGATCGTCATTTCCTCTTCAACCATGTTCTCGTGGAACGCGTCGCACTACTGGTCACCCTCAGAGATCAAGAGATGCAACTCCTTGCCATTCGGATCCTAGGGATGCTTGCGCTCTCACCTCATTTTACGGTCATGGACCAGCAAGCCTCTAGAACAGCAAGGAAGCTCAATAGACTCGCCGTCATTATTCAAAACAGTGACGACTCTGTTCGAATCAACGAGGGCTTTGCTGAGTTGCTGGCGAATGACTTTGCTGAATCAGAAAATCTAGATGAAATGGAGGCTCATATCGGCGCAGGGACTCCAGACAGAGACGAAGAGGAAGATGAAGTCCCGTTTACCTATCTCATAAGGCTCGAGATAGCGAACTTATTGCTCAAGAACACGGAAAAGGGCCGCCCAGCTCCTAATTTAGCTCACTTAATACTCGGCTTTGACGTTACCACCGCTTCAAAGAATGAGCTTACAATGCAAGACCCCAATGCCCTCAACTCCAGCCGCTCCTGCTTCCACGTAATTACTGAGCTGTTGAGTGAGGGCATTCCATTCCTGGACCCTTCAAGGAAACGGAGAGAAGAGCGACTCCTCAAAAGGACTCCACTTTACTGCAAGGCACCCCTATTAGCGGAGAGATTCCATCGCCTTGTGTATCAGCTATGCTCTCATGACCTTACCAGCAAACCCACCGCCAGATACCTTCGAACACGAGAGGACTATTTTGCTCGAAACCTCTCAGCTCTTCCTATCCGAGCACCAGAGCTACCTTTTGATGCTGAAGGGATAGCCAGTTACTCTGACGGGATGAGTGTCGATTCAAATTGCCGCTCTTTGACGTCTTTCCTGCGAATGAGAGCCTGGCTTCTGGACTCGATTGCTCTAGAACTTCATTTGCTTACGGATGAAAGACAGTTCCCGCGAGCTGGTCGTCTACTCGATATCCTATTCAGTGGTATCGATAATAGCA